CTGGTTTGAACATTCAGAGTAATAAAGTACCATTTCTTGGCCAGAGGTGGCAGGTTAGGAGTAGTGTGCATGTTTGCACATTCAACAAGAGATATTTCCTAATATTTTATAATTTTAAATTATGTTATTTGATCTAGCAATTCCTATTTTTAAAAACTATTTTAATTTTAGTCTCTCTACTTTAACATTTCAAAATCATCCTGTGTTACCTGCTCAACTAGGATGATCTCACTGAACATGTTACGTCAGCTCCCTGCTTCAGAAGACTGTCCCTAGCATCCTTTCTTACAGATTCTGTGAGTGTCAGATATCTACTGACATTGCTGTGGTGGTTATTTGATTTTATAGACTAGTGATGGATAGTCAGAGAAGTATTACTTATGATTAAATCAATCACTTGTATGATTTAGAATTCAACCTTAAATCTGAGAGGAAAATGTCAAGCATGACTTCTGTTTCCTAACCTATTTTTTTATTCCTTTTTCCTCTTTTATTTCTTCCTTTCTTCCTTTCTTCCTTTCTTTCCTTCCTTTCTTTTCTTTTTCTTTCTTTCTTTCTTTCTTTCTTTCTTTCTTTCTTTCTCAAAACCTGCCCTGATACTGAGCATGCCCAGACTGCAACAACGCCCTAGGAGTTCTGATGCTTTTTTTCTTTCTTTTTTTCCTACTTTCCTTCTTTCCTTCTTTCTTCTTTCCTTCCTTTCTTCCTTTCTTCCTTTCTTCTTCCTTTTTTTTGCTGTGTGCTTACCAGATTTCTTTTTCATATTTCACTATTAAATATTTATAAAGCCTATACAAGTCAGTTTTTAGTTATAATAATACCACCTACATGTCTCGCTAATGATGTGGAAATGATTAATGAGATGAAGTCCATAGAAATCATTGAACTTCTTAAGGGAAAAAAAGGCAACTTAAATGCAGTTATTTTTACCCTGCTAAATATTTATATATTAAAATTACCAAATCACTATGACCCTGAAGTCTAATATACCACTACTGTTTATTACAGCCCTAGTTTCTACATAAAAATCTCAGCCTGAATATTTTCGAGTTATATACTTGTTTGTGTCCTCTTTTGCATAAATAAATAGATCTTATAATAATAGTAATCATAAACAATATCGAAATGTCAGTATTTTCTAGTCATTGAATAATGTGCCAGTTCATCATTTTATTATATCTTCACAATAATCCTAAAATTTGGGTGATATTTTTGCCATTTTATGGGTGAAGAAGCTAAACTTAATTCAAATCACTTGGCTGCCTAAGGAAAGCTTCACAAGCAAGAGTTAAAATAGGGAAATATAAAATAGTTTTCCTGAATTCTGATAGGAGAAATAAATGAATAATGACTCTCTTTACTAACACTCTCTCCAGAATAAAATCGGCATCTTCTTCTTGGGCTTGGTTAGAGACAGCCTTGCTAAGAGGAGTTATTTTCATCATTCCTAAGAATCTACATTACCGTGAATTTTTGCTGGGTTCAATTTAAGAGATAATTTTACTCTAATACATGATTAAAATTAGATTGAAAGGGATTTAGGAAAAAAAGGTGCATGTGGGATTATATTCAACCTTGTTTATCATAATGACCTTATATTCTTCAAGTCAGGTGAATGTAGCTAGAGGTCACTAGTAAGCACCATATCAATCCAGAATAATAAACCTGACTTAAAATGAAGGTACCCAAATTTCGACAGAAGTTTTATCAAAAAATACAAAAACCAAGTGTAGTGGGATCAGGGACAAGAAAGCAAAGACAGAGGAGAAAAAGCAATAAACAGAAAGAAACAAACTTGCTGCACCCCAGCTTTGTCTGTGGGCTATGTCTGTGGGCTTACTTAAAGTGTCATAGTACAATTGAGCCTCAAAACAAACTTGAGGATAAGATACTACCCAAAATTTGGTTTGCAGGAAACCAAAGTTTAAAGGGTGTAAATTTCCAAAGTCTCATTATGACTGCTTGGAATGCCAGAATTTAAACTCAAGTCTGCAGTACTCAACAGTATAGGGTCTTTGTACCACACAACCCATGTTTTAAGATGGTTGGTCTTTCCTTCCACAGAAAGAAAATTCATTAGAAACACACATAACTCATACATAGATTTTTCCTCCCATACACCTTCCAGTTATTTAACCTTTTAAAGTTACCAGATCAGTAAAAACAAGATGTTTTTCAAAGTATACAATGTAGGGTAGCCCGTCCTTCCTCTCACATTTGAAAAAAATACTTGCTTTTTCTATTATTATTTCTCTTCAGTCCTGAAGGAGTTAATGTATCATCCCAAAGCTCCTTTTTCATTTTTAGTTTGCACTTAATTTAAACCATAATATTGAATATTTAACTTTTCACTTTTCAACTCCAGCCAACCATTTGCCTTACAGAATATAAAATGCTGCCAGCAAGTGTTTTGAACACCCCCTCATTGATTTTGTTCATGAAAATAAGAGGTCAGTTGTGGTGGCTTAGCAAGAAAATTATTTGTCCTGTGCTAAAGACAAAAGCACAGAAGTATGTGGGCGTAAATGGTAGTCTTATCTCTTTCTGCAGTATCACTAATAAAAATGGTACGTGTGACTTCTGACAGCGGCAGTTGTTCTTAGTTTCTGTTAAGTCACTTAATTTGAGGGTTGAATAACATTGAAATCAATGACAAAGTTATATGTCACTACATGATAAAGTATAACCCAAAGAATAAACAGACACATTTGTAAGAAACAAATCACAGTAGGGGCACCAGATAGCTTTCAGTTGCAAAATAAGACTCAAGGAAGGGAATTTGATCAACTAAATGTATTTAGATATTACAGGGGCTGGTGATGAATTAAGGATGGAAGTTGCAAAGATATTTCTCAAGAAAATGGTGAAAAGAATACACAAAAGTGGCTAATAATAAAATATGTGATTGTGTAGAAGTTTCTTGGTGGTGAACTCATGTTATTAACACCTAAAAGAGATTAAATTGCTCTGTGATCTTAATGCTTATAGATCCAACAACGAAAGATTGCATATAGAGATCAACATATAGATAACAATTATTCAGCATATTAAATGCTTTGGTAAAAGGAGGCCATTAATATCTTATAAAAGTAAGTTAAATAAATGCAAACAGATGGTGATGCTTAGTGTAAGTGTTAGAGAACCTAGAAAATTTTGATTAAAGATTCATAAGGTGAGAAAGAATCTGAGGCCATTAGTGTTTATGAAATTGGTAGTTTTTCTCCACAATGCGGACTAATCATTGTGTTCCCATCTCTGTAGAAGGAAAGCTCTTCACAACTCTGAGAATAAACAAAGCACCTGTGTGCAATGCAAGGTTTAAGAGAAACCAAAACTGGTCTAAGGTGGCAGATCCTGCCTCATTCTAAGTTTTTAACAGCCATGTGTGTATAAGAGATTATCCACTTTGCTTTTGGTTGTTTTTATGAAACCTAAATGTTTGTGTTCTTGATTTCTCACCAGGGCTTTGTAGCAAAGAAATCATAGCTTGAAGTTGAGACTGTGTAAACTAAAGCAAATATTAAGTTAATTATTGTTAAGTACTTATCCTTGCTTTTGTAATAATGACTAATGTCTTTAAATTATTGCTCCAGTGAGACAAAGGGTATAAAAACCTTGAACTAAGAAGAACAAGATAAAACAAATAAATTTTATTTTGAAATACAGAAGATGAAAGCATAGTAAAGGTACAGTTAGAACAGATGTTTGTGTTGCTATTGATGTGTTTTGCTCATATCCAATTATCTTTTTGACTATCACTGATAATTTTGCTTCATCGATTTATAAGCATGTATGTGCTAGGTTGCAGTGATATGGCAGTAAGCAGAGAAGATCTAATCCTTATCTCACAAACTGGACAGTTTAATAAACAATGGTACAATAAAGTATGATCAGCATTATGATATTGAAAGTAAAGAAATCAGGAAATGCTTGGCAGAGGAACCCAATCCAGTTTAGGGGATTCCTGAGCAAGACACCTTTGAACAACAGATATTTAAGCTGAAATGAAAAAAAAAAGGAATGGAAGTAGGTCAATTCTTTAGAATAAACACTGAAGCTCATATTAAATTATTTATTACTTAAGTTACTGTTAAATTATTTATTATTTCTGTTACTAAAAAATTTAATTTCTTAATAATTTTGGTGGCATTTGATGTTATATGGCTTTAATGATAATTATTTCATTCACCTATAAATACCTTGGTTTGAAAGAACCATATACTGGTTAGCCAAATGCTACTCACTGAGAGAAAAACTCCCTTCTGATCATTTTTTCTTTTTCTTTCCAAATTTATCAGGTTATAACTTGTATACCATAAATTTCAACATTTTAAAAGTGTAAAATTCAGTATTTTTCGTATATTCACAGATTTGTGTGACCATTACTACCTTCTAACTCCAGAACATTGTTCTCAGCCCAAGGAGAAACCACATGCACATAATGGTCACTGCTCCCCCACTCCCCACTCCTTCCTTTAGGGACCGCTAATCAAATATCTGTCTCTACAGATTTGCCTAGTCTAGGCATTTCATGCAAATGGAATCATACGATATGTGGTTCTTCATGATTGACTTCTTTCACTAAATATGATATGTCCAAGGTTTACCCATGCTGCAGCATGTATCAGTCTTGCCTTCCTTTTTATGGCCAAATCATATCTCACTGTATAAATTTACTATGTTTTGTTTATCTTTTTATCAGTAAATATATATTTGAGTTGTAAATCATATCTCACTGTATAAATTTACTACATTTTGTTTATCTTTTTATCAGTAAATATATATTTGAGTTGTTTCCACTTTTTGGCTATTATAACTGGTGCTGCTGTGAACACTTGTTTACAAGTTTTTATGTGGACATGTGTTTTCATTTCTCTTGGGTATATACGTAGGTGTGGAATTGCTGGATCATATTTATCTCTATACTTGCTTTTTGTGGTACTGACAGACTGTTTTCCATTTTGTGTGCCCACCAGCAATGATTTGCTTTCTTTTTGTAGACCCCAGAAGAACTGGAGGATGTTTCTGACCTGGAAGAGGATCATGAGGTCCACAGTCACACCAGCATTCAGACTGAAGGCAAAACTGACAGGGTATGTCACTGCCCTCAGGGGAGAGCTGTTACTCTGTCCTTTTCTGGTCCATGCAGGCAGCCTCTCACAGTGGGGACTACTGGATCTGGTGCTGGTTTCGGAAAGCACAGGGAGAAGAGTCTCTGAATTCAGCATGAGGGGAATTGTTTCCTCTATTCTGAGAGCTCACAGGGAGACCATTTCTGGTCAGGTAGTGAATCACCTTATAAGCACTTTTGATCTTTATAGCAGTCATGGGAATATCAAAGTGAAATGTGTACATTTTTGTTTAGAGTAGAAAAGAGAAACCAAAAAGTTGTAAGGAAAACGTTATAGGGAGAGAACAAATAAACCTCTGAAGCAGTATGCCTCTACTTTTCTTTCTTTCTGCAATGCCCTCTTCTGCCCCTACCCTCAACACATACATTTCCACCCTGCCCCCACCACCCACACACACTCTCCAAAGCTGTTTATCAGTTTCTCAAATACTCTGAGATACTGTACTTCACTTTACTTATACCTGATGCACGGGGATCTGTTAAAGTTTGGTTTTCTAGATACTGAGAGCTTGCAACTGCAGACTGAACTATAAAACTTGGGTCTGAAATCACAGTTCCCCAATGATCCAGTTCATTTAGAATGTCTCTGGGCGACAGTCTAGGGACAAGATAGATCCCTGACAATTAAATGTACTGGGAGTGGCACAGTGGCTAAGACTATCTGGGAACACATCTAATGAGCCACTTCCTTGCTGTATTACTTAGGAAACTTACTTAGACTTTCTCTACTTTAATTCTCTTATTTGTAAAGTGAAGATACTAATAGTACTCTCTGTATGAGGATTATTATGGGAATTAACTGAGTTACCTAATAGAGCACTTAACGCAGTGCCTAGATCACAATAAGTTCTCAATAATCTTTTATTATTATTTTTAGAAGTAGTAGTAGCAATAGTATAATTATCATCATTATCATTATTATTTAGTTAAATTCAGTGACATAGAATTTGGAGACAGATGGGAAAAGATAAATTTAAGAAAGTTACATGTTTTCATATCTTCAGATTATCTAAAACTTGTATATATAGTCACGACACTTTCGTTTTATCAGAAATGTTGCTTTTCTTGGTTTTCCATTTCTTGCTGATTATTTGGATTATTTATCAGTCCTCTAGAAGCCAGTTCATGTTGGGAATTGTTTGGGGGATCACAGCATCTGGAGACAATTTCTTTCAAATCTCATAGGCCTCCTTGGTAAGATATCAAACCTTATAAATGTTCATAAAATTGGAAATAAATTTTGCTAATGGTAGACTGCTCATGCTTTCAGTGATGTGAGCAAGCGATTCACGTAGGTTGCAGCTGAGCCACTAGAAGTGGTGGGTAGGTATTAGGGCTTACAAAGTAACTGATAGGAGGAAATTTTGTTAAAACAAAGGCAACTTTTAGAATGAGGGGGTTAGGATAAACATACCTTGGTTTTCATTCAGGTTTGTCACAGGTAGACAATGAAGCCTTGGTTAAGACCCTTCAAACTTAGAAAGTTTAAATTTCTTCATCTGAAAAATGAGAATAGTTTTATACCTTCTCACAGCACCACTGGCATCTTCAAAGAAGATAATGCATATGAAAGTGTTCTATAAACTTTAAAATTCTATGCTAAGAAAATTAGCTTCTTATTACTACTATTTGTATTTGTACTTTTGTCTTGGATGGAATTACAGGCCAACTAGGTGACCAGCTGACCATAGTAGGTTATGAAGTTGATAATCTTCATGGTCCTGGCTCTTAAGAATCTTTCAGAGAAGCCACTGCTTCTAAACTTGTGGATATCACCCTGAAACTGCTCTGAATCCTAGATTTGTGTTCCACCCTGCACGGTTCCCCGATGATCCATTTCATTTGAAATGCCCCTGGGTGACAGCCTTACCACTGTCTAGTGACAAGATAGATCCTTGACCATCAAATTTCCTGGGAGCAACATTGTATTCAACCTGGTGACTGTCAGCTTTTATAAATCTCCCCTGCATAAATTCCAAATAGCTTGGTTTTTATTCACCTCCTGCCCTGAGGCTTCCCTGCAATTGCTATGTGGAATCCCTCAGGAAGCTGCTCAGATATTCTAATACTTACACAAGCTTGAGTGAGGCACTAACACCCCACAGAGCAATCCTTAACCAATACTCTTTTACTCCTTAGATGGATCATTTGAAGTTTATTTTCCATAGGTCCTTGAGTTTCCCAGCGGGATCAAGCCCCAATTCTTACGGCATTGGCAGGCTTTATAATATATCTTGGATTGGCCTCCTTTCTTTTCTGATGTATTCTTCCCAGGCTCCCAGTTCTGTTCCCTGAGATCTATTCTCAAAATAAATTACCTTCTTTTTCTTTTTTGCTGGGGGAGGGGGGTGGGAAAACAAAATATAGTTACTTTACATATACTATTTCTTTAATTTTCACATTAACTCTGCTATAATGATATTGTTATTACAGTTTTACTAATAAGATCACTGAGGCTCAGATTTATATAATTTACCTAGTAAGTGGATTATTCTTTCAGACTAAGAACCTTGGTGGTTACCACATGTCAATTCACTTAGGTCATAGGGTAAGTAGAATGAATCTTTTACTAAAAAGCAAACAAATAACCATCATCACGACAAACCTGATGTCATTTATGGAATGTAAGAGAACAGAATAAAGGATGACACAGTGGTCTGAAAAAGGGAGGAAGAGTACATATTTAAATTTAAAGAGTAATTATTGTATAGGATGGACAATTTAATTCCAATTACATCCTATTGAATATCTATCTTGTGAGTTTACTAGAACAGATTTCACTCTCATACCTGAGATGGCTCGCCAAGGAGGATAACTCAAATATATCACTCATTCAAATCACCTGACTACAGGCAAGATTATGATTAGGCAGGTATTATATCCCTGATATTCTATATTTGTTATAACTACATCTCTGTGCTTGAAATATATTCATATGTTTAGTCTTGTAACTATTTGAGACTTTATATCTGTATTCTATCTGCTTTCTTGAATTCTATATTCATTGGACTGAGTGTACCTTTTGACATATTCCCCAGGTACAATCAATTTGACAAGATACCATAAGATTTTGAAGTGGAATCCATTGAGAATCCTTTGAATATTCATGCCATGATCAATGAGGAATTCCCAGTCACTGCTGAAGACAAGTGGTTGGGTTCCTTTGTGTTCACTGCTATTACTATGGCTTTTGGTTCTCATATTATGCAGACTCTGCTATTTCAAACATGTACTAGAAGCAATTTCAGGAGCTGTTTAGTAGTAGAGTGACAGTTATTTATTATCATTTTACTTTCTGTATTTCATTTCCAGTAGCTTTGGCTCAACATCATCTGTTACTGCTGTCGTCAGTGTAAAATGCCACTGGGCATTGTGAAGGTCTATAACCAACAAATAATGAGTTCATGGTCAATGAGACTGAAATACTAAAAGACCAATAGTGCATGCCTTATGAAGTGGCAGAGGAACAGAAGTAGAAATTAATGACTGTCTTAATTATTAAACACAAATACTTACTGGCCCGATACAGTGGTTATAGCCAGTGATCAGGCGTTCCACTGTGATGCAATATAGGAGTGTGAGTTTGCTATAGGTTTAGAGAACATTCTTCAAAGAGCTCCTTGTTTATTCTGTTCATGCTCTTAGCAAGGGTAAATCTTGAAAACTTAAATTTGAAAGAGACGTAAAATAGACTCCTATTAAAATAATCAAAGTCCTAAACTTACTGATAAGATTTTTTGGTAAATCCTAAAAGTTTCCTAAAAGATTGTACTAAATACATGCAAAATCATATTTTCTATTTAAACAGAGCAGAGCCAGTTATCATTTAACACTTTATAGTTTACAGAATATTTCTAAATTGGTACCTTATTTAAACAAAGCCCTGAAGGTTTTTTTTTTTTTCTTGATTTTACTAATTGAGGAATTACTAAAAAAATTTCAGTAGTTTATATAAGTCATGTAGACTGTGACCAAGTCTCAGGTCTTCTAGCATTAACCACACTTTTTCCAGTGTAGCACATTTGTAAGCTTAGGTAGAATGTCATCATCCCTTAAGATCTCTTTACCCTACTCTCTTGCTACAGTTAGTATTATGGTTGATATTATAATTCCTCTATGAGAAAGATGACTCATAAAATTAAAGACCATAAACCTTAGTATCAGATCTGTTTAAGCCTCACAAATTTCTAAGTGTCCCAATACTACAATCTTCCAACAATGACAAAATCAGTCTGTTGGTTGCCATTTGAAAATTGTATAGTAGTGCCCAGACCCTGACAATCTCCCTGGAAGATCACTTCTCCTTGATCAAGTGGAATAACAGTCAAGTAGAGTCTTATAGCACAGGACCTTGTAGGACAATAACCCGAAGTCTTCAAGCAGAATCCAGAAGACACGGGCAGTAGTTACTCCTTAGTCAGTCTCTTGTCACATTTGTCCTTGTGATATTTCATTATGGGGAACATGCTAATTTCTAGAAATTTTCTCTGGTTTATTGTCTGCAATGAGGGCAGCGATAGCAATAGAGACTTAGGAAATTGCTAACATGTCAGCAGGGTGGCAGCTAAAAGTATGTTCCATAAGCCTACCCTGGGGACGACTATGGATTTAGAAAGACTCTTAATACAATGGATTAAAAGAGTTTTGTGAGTGAAATGAGTGAGTAAGTGACTCATTTTGTTTTTCTAGCATTGCTATATAGAGTAGAAGTTAAGAGTATGGACTTAGGAGTCACATAGACCTTGGTCAAACTGTGGGTTCCACAAATTAGTGTCCATAGGACTCTTGTAAAGTTAGTTTATATTTTTAACTTTAGGTTTTCTCATCTGCAAAATTGTGATGATAATGATTGTATCTATTTTATAGGTGTTTTTGAAGATTAAACTAGATATATGAAAATTTTGGTTTACTTCCTGGCACATAGGAAATACTCAATAAATTTTGATTTTGGTAAAATTGAAT